TTTTGAGTGTAAAGATGGTGTGGGGGGGGGGGGGGTCCTAAAGATTTCAGCCTCTGCTGTTCTGAAAGGAATCTTATCCCTTTTATGGTAAATAGGATTCCTTTAGAGCAAGAGATGCTATGTAAAGCCACCCACACCAAGGCCTGCAGTTAGCCATAAACTTTTTCGTTCGTGTCTCCCCTCCCTCTTTGGTTCAGGTTCATCCTCCGTCAATGAACGAGTAGGACCAGAGACTGTGAAATGAATTCATGTTTTGAAAATAGATGGGACATCTTTGTTCTCCAAATGAGTTTCTGGCTTAGTATAAGCTAGATCCATGTTGATCCATGTAGGGGAATATACATACTTACGGGACAGTTTTGTTACGCCTCTGAAGAGTGATGGGTTCATACTAGGTGGTGAAATTTTGATTCCAGTTTTTAGAATGAATTCTAAAACTTTTTTGTTAGCGTCTTAATTCCCCCCTCCCCCTTCATTTCCACATTTTCCTGCAGAAGTAACCATTGGATGATCACCCAGGGATGAAAATGGAGAAGCGTGACCTCCAAGGTCTCACAAGAGGGGAAGGATCAGAGACAGCAAGGAAAATCCCTCACATTCTTCAGCCTGAAAGCATCAGAGAATTCCTGGAGAGGACACCGGGAGATCCGATGCATCTGCAAGTAGGGGAAGGATCCCTTTCCCTTCAGCAGTGGGAAGCCCAGTGGCAGGAGTTCCTCAGGACAGTGGAAAACCCTCACTCTGGATGGGGAATCCCACACATACCAGCTAAACCTTCACCCTGGGAAGACACCAAGGCCTTTCTGGCCTCCTTTGAGCACGTGGCTGAAGCCTGTCGGTGGCCCCAGGAAGAGTGGGTGACCCGACTCCTGCCAGCCCTCAGCGGAGAAGCTGAGAAGGCCTTTAAAGAGCTCGGTGTCAGAAACAGAGAGGATTATGGGAAGGTGAAGGCAGCCATCTTGCGAGTGGACGCCCTGAGCCGGGAGAAGCAGCGCCAGCAGTTCAGACGTTTCTGCTACCAGGAGGCCGAGGGGCCCCGGGGGGCTTACAGCCGACTGCGGGAAATGTGCTGTGGGTGGCTGAGGGTGGAGAATCACAGCAAGGAGCAGATCCTGGAGCTCTTGGTCCTAGAACAGCTGTTGAGTGTCCTTCCCCCGGAGATCCAGAGCCGTGTGAGGGAGAGCAGCCCCGAGAGCTGCTCCCAGGCAGTGGCCGTGGCCGAGGAGTTCCTCTTGAGGCAGGAGAAGCAGGTGAGGCCCTTCTGCTGGGTGGCTGAGGGTTGAGATCTCTGTCTGTCTCAGGAGGGTGAAGGGGAATGCCGGGGCATGATGAGGTGGTGTGTTCCTATAGTTATTTGGAAATTCAGTCCCAATAAGGCTGCTGTCGGTTGGGAAGGAATTGTCTCTGTGTCTGCAGGAAGGTGGTTGGTCTGCCTTCGATGGGGTCCCCCTCCCCCTGAAAAAGGAGGCCTGCAGCTTCAAGCCACTCCACAAATCTGCCTATGTTGCAGTGCCCAGAACTTCACTCCTCCTTGGTTATGATGTAGCCCTCTAGGCTGGACTACTGCAATATGCTCGTTGTGGAGCTTCTCTGGTACTCTGTTTTAATTTGACCCAAACTGGGGAGGACCAGATACAGCCTGCCCAGAAGGAAGTGCAGATGTTACAACCTTGTGTCTGAATGCATCCAAGTCACTGCGTGTGTCCTTCAGAGTCCTGAACACATGGGTCTTCTTGGTCATCTGAGTAATGTCTCCCCCCCCCCATAATTCCCCAGCCCCTCCAGTTGCAGATTAGAGTATTGTGAACATGTTACATGAACACATGAAGCTGCCTTCTACTGAATCAGACCCTCGATCCATCAAGGTCAGTCTTGTCTACTCAGACTGGCAGCATCTCTACAGGGTCTCAGGTGGAGGTCTTTCACATCATTTACTGCCAGATCTTTTAACTGGATGAGATGGTTAGACAGTGTCATAGATGCAACGAACATGAAGTTGAGGAAACTTCAGAGGACGGCGGAAGACCAGAAGGCCTGGCGTGATCTGGTCCATGGGGTCGCGAAGAGTCGGACTCGACTGCGCGACTGAACAACAACAACAACAACTTTTAACTGGAGACGCCAGGGATCGAGCCTGGGACCTTCTGCATGCCAAGCAGATACGCTGTCCCTGAGCCACAGCTGCCTTCTTGGTGATGGTGCCTTGTTTATGGAATTCTCTACTACACCGAATCAGCTTGGGCCAGGTTACCTTCAAGGTAGTTCTGGATGCTAGTGGTGGCTGCCTCCCAGCAGTTGATCCTGCACACTGGTCTGTTTCCCAAACAAACTCAGTCCGGTTTTCCTTCCTACGAGGACAAGGGGCTGCTAATGAACAAGGTAGGGGGTACAGACTTCACGTTCCTGGGATCCCAGAGCACCGCAGACTGTGACAGCAGCCATGAAATTAAAAGACGCCTGCTCCTTGGGAGGAAAGCGAAGAAGAACAAATCAGTCAATCCTCAAAGAAATCCACCCTGACTGTTCCCTGGAAGGCCAGATAATGAAACTGAAGCTCAAATACTTTGGCCACCAAATGAGAAGGGAGCACTCACTGGAGAAGACCCTGATGCTGGGAAAGATTGAAGGTCAAAGAAGACGGGGACGGCAAAGGATGAGATGGTTAGAGACGATGCAACGAACATGAAATTGAGCAAACTTCAGAGGACGGCGGAAGACAGGAGGGCCTGGCGGGATCTGGTCTATGGGGTCGCGAAGAGTCGGACTCTACTGTGCTACTGAACAACAACAACAAGGGGGTACAGAATTGGACCCTCTTCCTCTGTCTCCCCCTGCAAAAATGTGGTCCTCGACATTTTCTGTATTCCTTAAGGAAACTCTGTCCTGATTGCTCCCTGTTACCTACCAATGAATCTACTAAGATCAGGATTGGGGGACAGAGTCTTCCCCTCTCCCCCACCTCCCCCGCCAATCTTTGTCACTGCCCTGAAAGGCTCCCTCTCTTCTGTTGCAGGTGTCCTTGGAGGAGGCATCTGGGAGCGTCTCCCAGGGAGGCCAGGATCTGTGTGAGAGCGAACAGAGGCAGCTGTGTGTGGAAACCAAGGAGGAGGACGATGGAGGCACCCACCTACTTGGTAAGGGAGGGGTGGCCTTTTGTGCTTGAGATCCAGGATGCTCAGAAGCTCTTCCCTGGGCTCACCGTCTGTTCTACTGGAGAGACAGTTTGGTGTAGTGGTTAGGACGCAGTGTTCCCTCTAGGCCGAGTTAGTGTGAGCTAGCTCACAGTATTTTAGCCTCCGGCTCACGCATTTTTGTCTTCGCTCAGGGAGGACTGTCCCGGAGTAAACGAATTCATGCAGTAGCCAAATCGCTCGCTCACAACTTTAATGCTGGTAGCTCACCAAGTAGACTTTTTGCTCACAAGACTCCACGGCTTAGAGGGAACATTGATTAGGAGGAGCACAGACTCTAATCTGGGAGAACCGGGTTTGATGCCTCATTCTGCCACATGCAGCTGCTGGTGTGACCTTGGGTCAGTCACAAGTTCTCTCAGAGCTGTTCTCTCAAGAGCAGATCTCGAAAGAGCTCTCTCAGCCCCACCTCCCTCACAGGGTGTCTGCTGTGGGGAGGGGAAGGGAAAGGAGATTGTAAGGCGCCTGAGACTCCTTCGGGTAGTGAAGGGCAGGGTATAAATCCGACCTTCTCCTCCTCTAAAAATAAATATATAAATGAGGCACATGTGGCTCTTTAGCCTGGTTTCTCTTTTAAATTTATTTAATTTCATCAATTAATTAATTAATCATTTTATTTATTTGATTCATTTGTACCCCACCTTTCTCCCCAATGGGGACCCAAAGCGGTTGACATTGCCCTCCTCTCCTCCATTTAATCCTCACAACAACCCTGTGAGGTAGATTAGGCTGAGAAGGTGTGACTGGGCCAAGGTCATCTAGTGAGCTTTCATGGCTTGTGGGGATTTGAACACAAGTAAGAGGCAAAACTGTAAGTAGGTCTTATTTTCGGGGGATGTCTTATTTTCGGGGAAACATGGTATATATGGGTGCTGAGCTCAGGGAGAAGAAAAATAGACAAAATGTACAGCTGGGCTTGGTAAGGTGTGAGTTGCTACTCACATGCGGTGTCACCTGAAGAACACTTCCCTGGCAGTAAGCCCCATTGAATAGATGTGAGTCGGATTCTGAGTAGACCTGCTTAAGATTGATCTCTGGAAAAACTTGTTGCTGCATTGTATAACGGCAGCCAGGATACTATATGCCAAGTACTGGAAAATGGGAAAAAATCCCAGATAGGACAGAGGTTATACAAAAATTATTTGAAGTCGCCAAAATGGATAAAATATCATGTATATTAAAGGGGAAAGATGAATCTTTTTTTGAAGAAAACTGGAGAAAATTCTATAATTGGAAACTGAGCGTGAAGGGTTAGGAATGTAGTTTTGTATATAGAGTTTGGAAGGAAAGGAGGCTGTATGCTCGTCTGTTGTGAATCTGTAGGAATATCGGTATGTTGGATTTGCTTTTGGAAAACTTTAATAAAAATATTTTTTTAAAAAAGATTGATCTCCGGATGGGGGAAATGGGGTAGTGGTTAGGCGAGGATTTGCTAGATCCAGGTTCAGATCTCCCACATGGCCATGGAAGGTCACTGGGTGAACCTTGGGCCAGTCCACGCTCTCAGCCTAACCTACCTCACAGGGTCGTTGGTAGGATGAAATCTAAGCTGAGCTAGTGTGAGCTACCTCACAGTTTTTTAGCCTCTGGCTCACATGTTTTTGTCTCAGCTCAGGAAGGAGAGCTCCAGAGCAAACTAATTTATGCAGTAGCCAAATCGCTTGCTCGCAACGACTTCTGGGACTTCCCAGTCCAGCAAGAAAAGCCAACCCAAAAGAGGAAGAACAGATTCCCTAATGGGCACTTGGGAAGCCACAAAGGAGAGAAGCTGAATAAAAATGTCAAGTTGGGAAAGAGCTTTGGGCAGACCTCAAACATTTCTATGTCGCCAACGCTCCATGCAGGGGAGATGCTGTACAGCTGCCCAGACTGCAGCAAAACCTTTAAGATCAAATCCAATTTCGTGAAGCATCGGGCGATGCACGCCAAGGTGAAGCCCTACAGATGTTCCGAGTGCGGGAAGAGCTTTGGACAGAGCGCGGGCCTGATTTCCCACGAACGGGTTCACACGGGAGAGAAACCGTACAGATGCTCGGAGTGCGGGAAGAGATTCAGTCACAAACTGAGCCTCGATATCCACGAGCGCGTCCACAGGGGGGAGAGGCCCTATCAGTGCTCGGAGTGTAGCAAGAGCTTTTGCGACAAATCGAACCTGACCAAGCACAAGAGAATCCACACGGGGGAGAAACCCTACCAGTGCTCGGAGTGCGGGAAGAGCTTCAATCGGAGCACAGCCCTCACTTCGCATCAGAGAACCCACACGCAGGAGAAGCCGTACGAATGCTCCGAGTGCGGGAGAAGCTTCAGTCAGCGCGCAACCCTTCTGTCGCACCAGAGAATTCATATGGCAGAAAATCCCCACACCAGCCTCCCATTACAATTAGGTCATCAAACTGGGTTCTGGCCTTCGGAGGTGCAGAGGGCAGTTACTTGAAGCAGGGCCTTTCTAGTGACTGCTCCTTTCCTGCAGCCTTTCTTGGCTATGGAGGCTTTGCTCGTTTTCTCGACGTTTATGAAGCTTGGGAACATATTTCTGTTTTGCAAAACTTCACCTAGCTTGCAAGAACTGGCTATCGCTGTGTTCTCTTACGATCGGGGGAGCGGTGCATTCGATCGTTTTTCACTGCACGTTTTCATCGAGTGCTTTGAAGAGTTTAGCTGTATTTTTATTATTTATATGTCACCTTGAGGAGCTAGAGGCAGGGTAGAAAAATAAATGACAAAAATAGAATGCACTTTGCGTTCGTGGGTAGGTAATTTGTACCGACTGACAGGAAGCTGATTCTTTAAGCTTCTTGACTGGGGAAGCTGCCCACTTTATTGGATGCAGTACAAAGCTGCGGTGACTCAAGTGGCTAAGGCGCTGAACTGCAGGCTGTGGAAGGTCAGCTGTTCAGCAGTTCGAGACCCGGGTACCGCATGATGGAGTGAGCCCCCATCTCTAGTTCCAGCTCCTGCCAACCTAGCAGTTCGAAAGCAAGAAATTGCAAGTAGATAAATAGGTACCACTTCGGTGGGAAGGTAACAGCGTTCCGGGCGCCTTGGTGTTTAGTCATGCCGGCCACAAGACCACGGAAACGCAAAAATAGTATGCACTTGGCGTGTGCGGGTAGCTACTTGAATTTGTACCGACAGGAAGCTGATTCTTTAAGCTTCTTGACTGGGGAAGCTGCCCACCTTATTGGATGCAGTACAAATCCTTAGCCATGCAGTCTTACAAATCCTTAGAGCATATTGTGCCACAACATGCCAGAGAAACATGCTTTAACCTGGGAACTCAGTGCCACAGGAAATGAAGCTGATCCCTGGCTTAAATGACTAGAAATATTCATTCAGGGTAAGTCTTATCAGTGACTTGTAGCTATGAGAGCTAAAAAAAATGAAACCTCCGTGTACAGAGGGAGTATAGTTCTAAGTACCAGATGCTGGGGACAATCGGGGAGGCGTGTTACCATTACAATCTGTTTGTGGGCTTCCTATAAACATCTGCAGCAGTAGGAAAGAGCAAGAGTTCAGGAGCACCTTAAAAACTAACAAAATCTGTGGCGGGGTAGGAGGTTTCTTGAGTCACAGCTCACTTCTTCAGAAAACATCTGGCTGTAAACATCTGGTTAGTCAACGGGACATTGGTCTGCTTTGTTCTTCTGGTTGAGTTTGTACTCCTTTGGGAAGCGGAGCGTCTTTTGCAATTCCCTCTAAAGAGAAGGGAGCGAAATTCAAAATGCTCCTAGATTTCTTCAATTTACCATTTTGAAAAAGCAACACATTTTCGAGTCACGCTGTTTTGCATGCAGTGCAGCAGGAGAGGCCCCAACCGTTTTCTGAGGCCGTTGGCACCTCTGGAATTCTGATGCAAGGGCAGTGGAGCTGGCTTCATAATGTCAGGAAGTGAGATGGTGCTAAACTCTCTTAGTAACCCTTGAGCATTCCAAGCAGAAGCTGTATGTAACAGAGGGTACCTTTTAAAATAGACATGTTGCTTTAAAATATCTTGCTGCATACCCACAGCTTACATTCAGTCACTCAGTCAAGATCTTTGTGTTGTTGGGTCACCTGCTTCTGAAGCAATTTTATTTCCCTGCACAGCCAATCAGAAGCCCTGCTGGGCAAAAGCCCCACTTCTCCCTGCCCACTTTCTAAAGTTTCCATATGGGGACTTTCCTCTGGCTGGTACACAGCATGCCCTTGTTTTAGTTGGAAACTTCCGCATGACGCTGTGCTCTTTCCAGACACGACTCAATGGGGCTTTGGGGGCTTTCCCTGTTGTGGGGAGGGGAAGGGAAAGGAGACTGCAAGCCACCTCTGGCAAACTACCTCACAGACACCTTGTGAGGTAGGTGGGGCTGGGAGAGCTCTTTCGAGCACTGCTTTTGAGAGAGCAGCTCTGCGAGAACTTGTGACGGACCCAAGGTCACACCAGCGGCTGCATATCGGAGGAGTGGGGAATCAAACCCGGTTCTCCCAGATTAGAGTCCGCACTCTTAACCACTACACCAGACTGGCTCTCCGGGTCTTGCCTGGAGGTTAACAACTCTGTGTCTGGGAAGGTGTGGTGTAGTGCTTAAGAGCAGCAGACTGTAATCTGGAGGACTGGGTTTGATTCCCCATTCCTCTTCCAAATGAAGCCTGCTGGGTGACCTTGGGCCAGTCCCAGTTCTCCCAGAACTCTCTCAGCCCCACCTGCCTTACAAGGTGTCTGTTGTGGGAAGAGGAAGGGAAGGCGATTGTAAGCCGCTTTGAGACTCCTTCGGACAGAGAGAAACGGTATAAAAACCAACTCATAAGAACATAAGAGAACATAAGAACACAAGAGATGCCAATGTTGGATCAGGCCAAAGGCCCATCCAGTCCAACACTCTGTATCACACAGTGGCCAGAAATACTCCTCCTCCTCCTCCTCCTTTTTCTTAATTATAAAGTCTGCAAAACAAAATAGAAGGGAAAGAAAACAAACCTCAAGAAGCAACAAAGTTGAGTACCCAAACGTTGGGGGAGGAAAAAGAATATTTTGAAAAATAAATTAAACCAAAATATATGTATTTATTACTAGCAGTAAAGCCCGTTGTGGAAATAAATACAACAAGATCTAGAAAGAGGCTCTGGGGGAGTGCTCTGGCTTTGGGCAAACAGTGTCATTTTGCTGTGGTGACCTCAGCAGGGTATAATGACAGAGTCCACTGTTTTCTCCAGAGGAACTGATCTCTGCTCCCTGAAGAGCAGTTGTAATTTTGAGTGATCTGTAGCCCTCACCTGGAGATTGGCAACAATTGTTACCCAGGATGAAATGGCTGGTTTGGAGGGTGGAGTCTATGGCATTCTACCTGTCTGAGGTCCCACCCCTCCGCAAACCCCACCCTCTCCAGGCTCCACCCCTCAAATCCCCAGGAATTTGCCAGCCTGGAGTTGGCAACCCCATCTCCTTCCCAGCTAACCATCAACCTACCATTATCTGCCCCTTTGACTTCAGCTGACTTCCGCCCTCCCTTCTGCAGAGCAATTGTAATTTTGAGTGGTCTCCAGCCCTCACCTGGAGATTGGCAACAATGGTTCCCCATGAGGGACTGAGTGGTTTGGAGGGTGGAGTCTATGGCATTGTACCTGTCTGAGGTCCCACCCCTCCTCAAACCTCACCCTCTTCAGGCTCCATCCCTCAAATCTCCAGGAATTTCCCATCGGGAGTTGGCAACCCTATCAGGATTGGCCCCAATATGTTTTCTCCCAAAGGCCAAAGTAGGTGACTGGACCAAACTAAGTTGCCTACCATCAGGCACTGAGGGGAAAGTAGGGTTGCCAGCTATAAGGAGGGAAATATCTGGAGTTTTGGGGGGTGGATTCTGGAGAGGGCAGGGTGACGGAGGCATCGGCCTTCCGTCGCCCGCCTCGCCCCCCCAATCTCGGCCCGGGCGACCGCGGCTCCCGC